ACTAGAGTGTCTAAGCAGAACTGAATCATTAAAGTTTTGATGCCTAAAGGCAGAAAATGGTAACACTCCCCAGTGTGCAAAAGTGGTATCCCATCTCTAGCATCTGTCCCATCCTAAATCCTTCAGCAGATGAGATGGAGAAAATATAACTATTCACAGCCCTCCTGAATCTATCTGCTCTTGAATTTATTCTGAAGCTTAGAAGATACAGAACATAAAAAGAATATGCAGGAGAAAGTGGTCTTTATAGGTAAACTGAAACATATTTCCAGCAGAGCACTTGAGCATTAGGCATTATTTCTTGTGAAAGGATTTAATTTTTATTGCAGGTTACATCTACACAACCCAGTGGAGTGCTACTCAGGGAAATGATTTTTCTCCAAACCAAATGGAAACATACGAGACCTATACCAAAGTCATCAAACTGCTTCTAAGCTGGAGCAGCTTTATGCTGGTTTCCCTGGGCTGGTTTCAAGGCAAGTCTACTTTCTCAGGTCCACTGTCAAATGCATCACAGTCCATCTCAGGGTTGCTGAAGTAGCCTCAGGTAACTCAGGTGGAAATAGTTTTGCTCCTTGACATAGCATCAAGACTGGTGTCAATTCATGTAAATAACTGTAGGCCTCTAAGGCTTAGATTTCTGTCTGTTTGACTTTTCCTATGCTGTTTTTAAATTCAGTGATGAGAATTCTAAACTTTTATGGCCCGCTTTATCTCATCCTGCTAAAATAGTTCAGATGGCTTGCTAAAATATGCCTTTTTCTGTCCAGTTACTGCAAAGAGAGTATCTGTTCAGCAGCAGATGCTTATACAGTACTTAGGTGAGAAGAATCTCACCTTAGTTGTCTATCGCTTGCTTCACAACACTTGCATACCAAGAACACACCATTGTACTGGTCCCGAGTGTCTGAATTATCCAGGAAGAATTCACTGATGCACTGGGGATTGAATAGCACAGGGGAAATTCTTAGATGTGAAGAGTTAAAGTGACAGTTCAAATCTGATATTATGGGCTGGTAATGTAAGAAAGCAAATAACAGCAGAATTACAAAGAGAGAAAAAAGTTCTTATGTGCCGACATGCCTGTCCTAACATAGTTTAGCTTAATCCAGCCTATTTGCTTTTTTCACCCTATTCGTCAGTCCTCCCTTCCAGAAACAGATTTAGGTACCCCTTTATCTCTGTGAGACTGTACTTCAGTTACCTTCACTAGTAACTTATTCCATATGTCTCTTTCTCTGAGAGTGGAGCAACCCTGCCCAAGACCCTGTTTGCTCATTGTTACCTAATATTTCAATTTAGTCCTTTAGTTTTCCCCTTTAAGTAATAATAACAAGAGCCCAGCCTTCGAGCTTACTTTATATTTTCACTTATCTCACTTTCTTAATACTGAAAATTTCAACTACACCACCTCCCAGATTTTTCTTTTTCATGGAGAATAAGACCAGTTCACACAGATTTTCTTCAATTTATATATATTTTTAAAGCCTGTACTTTTAAGAATAAAAATAAAAAAAAATCCTTTTTTCATTTTTTTTCTTATCACAGAGGAAGAATTTGATTCTGCAGAGCACAATCTTTAATCAAGCAACTAATCCAATTTACCCAATATAGCAGGCAAAATGTAAGACTTTCTGGACGGTAACTTGGAGAACAGAGAAACAGGACATAGTCTCGTCAGGTAGTCATAACACACATGGGCTTCTCCCAGTCATGTCACCAGGATTAGATGGAGTAGTATAATATAAGCAGGACCAACAGGGAAGGAGAAAGGGGAGGTCTGAAAAGCTTTGACATTTCTTCTTGAAAGGAAAATGTGTTTTACACACTTTTGCCATTAGCTCTGCTGTTAATGGTAAAAAAAACCAAACAGGTTTTCTTATCTAGAGAATTGTAGTGAAATAATAAAGCATTGAGGTACCAGAATAAGATTCTCTTTTTTCTATTATAAAGAATATAGTTAATAAAATTATTGTCATATACCTTCGAAGAGGACTCAAACTGAAGTGTTAAAAAGTGGAAAAGGGGAGAAGAATAAGAAACTTTACCACTTGAAACTCTTCCGTCTTTAATTCCTGGCATTTCAAAAAATCTCCTAAAAAAAGAGCAGACTATTAAGAATGATGTCTCTGAAAGCAGATACGTGATTTGAGAGCTTCCTGACTACTTTGCAAAGTGGCTTAGACACTTTTTCTGATCAGTTGTCCTTGAAGCAGAGTTCTTGGCTGTATTCACAAAGGTATTTATAGGTCTGCATCTGTAGATACAAGAATCAAAATTCAAGTCTTCGTGGATCACCTTTTTAACCTCTCCTAAATTTGGAAGTGTTATAATCCCATTTTCTTTTTAGCATGGTATTTTGCAACCATCTACAGTCCTCCATAAGCATCTGCTCAATTTCGTCTGTCCTCATGTCCATGTTCAAGTTCATAGATCAAGACCTCCTGCCCAGTAGGGTTGAATCTACTTAGTGTTCTTGAACACACTTGGAAAATGAGATTCTGCACAAAATATTGGTTAACATATGAGTTCTCAGGTTCTGCTGTTAATGCATACCTCAGGGGTTAGGACACTTACAGGGAAAGCAGAAAGTCTGGATCGTTCTTTCTTTTTAGCTATAAGGAATGTGAAGTTCACTTACCCCATTCTTTTTTCTTTTTTTCTTTTTTTTTTTTTTTTTAATTGCTCCTTTTTACATAAAATGATTAAACCTTAACTGGGCTCAAGACAGTGACCTCATTTACTTCAAGCCCTTATCTTACAAAGTAATTACTATAAAACAGGGAATTGTTGATTAGGAAAAGAAATAGAGCCCCAGACTATTTTTGTTCAGGTGAGTTCTGTAACTGCTAAAAATAATAAAAATATTTCTCTTGTTCTGACCTAATTAATATGTAAGTATTCCATGCAAAATACAGCTGTTTCCACAGAAAAGAAAGGCGTCAGTCTTGCAGTTTCTGGGACATGTCGAGTATTCTCCTAGAGAGTAGGCATAATGGATTCAGATTCAGATTCCTGTAGGCAGTGTGAGAGAATAGATTCATTCAAGGAAAAAAACACCCTCCAAAGTCACATATAAAAATAGAGTGGGGAGGGTCCTACAATCCTACAGACTCACTTTTCTGTGGCTCTACTTTAAAAGACTATCCTGGGTTCAGCAGTAGCAGTCCTTTTTCTCCTTCTCAGTAGCTGGTGCAGTGTTGTGGTTTTGACTTTCAGCCTGGGAACAGCGCTGATAACACCGATGTTTTTAGTTACTGCTCAGTAATGTTTACTCTGACCAAGGACTTTCTGAGTCTCATGCTCTGCCAGGGAGGAGGGGAAGCCAGGAGGAAACAGAGGCAGGACATCTGACCCAAACTGAACAAAGAGGTATTTCATACCACAGCATGTCATGCCCGGTATGCAAACTGAGGGCAGTTACCTGAAAGGGCTAGACCACTGCTGGGGTCAGGCTGGGTGTCGGTTAGCAGGTGGTGAGCGATTGTGTTCTCTTCCCTTACTATTTCCCTTATCATTATTATTATTGGTGGTAGCACTAGTGATTTGTGTTATACCTTAGTTACTGGACTGTTCTTATCTCAACCCATGGGAGTTACATTCTTTCCATTCTTCACCCCATCCCTCTGGGAGCAAGGGGGAAAGAAGTGTGGGGGAGTGAGCTAATGGCTGCGTGGTTCTGGATTGCCGTCTGGGCTTAAACCACAACAAAGACAAAATTTCAGTACGACCTAGATCTGCAAAAGAGGAAATGATGCTCGTCAACCCCAAGCAGAAGGAGTCCTTGGAGACCAAAGTAATGTTACAGTGTCAGTGGACGAGGGAAGTGTAAAACATATCCTGAATTTAATATTTCCTAGAGACCATATTATAGAATCATAGAATAGTTTGGGTTGGGAAGGACCTTTATATTATCTAGTTCCAACCCGCTGCCACGAACAGGGATGCCTCACATTAGACCATATCACCCAAAGCTCTGTCCAACCTGGCCTCAAACACTGCCAGAGATGGAGCATTTACCAGTTCTCTGGGCAACCTTTTCCAGTTACGGAATATCAGATATTAGAGCATATTAAGGGTACTTAGATACTTGAGGTGATATATTTTGCATATATAACCTTCCAGTGGAATTCACAGCCTCTGCAATGGTTACATCAGCTTCCCACACAATGAAGAGAAAAAAAATAAGCACTTGATGATGGAATTCAGAAAAGCCAGAATTTTGAGTGAAGAAGTGCCTATGCCCAGAAAGGAAACCCTGAGGAAAAGATGAGAGTTACCTAACCAGCAAATCCTTCCATGCAAAAAGAAAATAAACCCCTTTTCTTTCACAGTAAATAACTCAGCACACAGCTCTCTGACATTAGATTAGATAGCTCAGATTCAAATCTGACTTCAAGGATTTGAACCTACAAAACATACCTTCACTGTCTAAATATTCAAACGATAAAGCAAACTGAAGTGTAGCTCTTGTTGAAACTTGCCTAAAATAATGTCTAAGAGAGAGAAGGAAAAAGTACTGTAAGTGACTGGGATACTTTCTCGAGAGACATATTTAAATCTCTACTTCAGTACATATTAAATACTTCATAAGAGGTGAAAAAGTTTCAGCAAAAACAGATTCTTGCCTCAGATATTGTTCTAAACCAAGGGACAGGACATCTCTGAGAGGAAGAAATGGACTAGAAGTCCTGCTTGTGGCAGTATGTGATGTGGATGCATAACTCCACACCCTGCCTGAGACACTTAGTCATTTAGCAGTCTAACACAAGGCATGTCCTCTCCCATGGCTCAGATTGTCTGCACCTTCAAGACTCTTAGGAGTTTACATTGAACACCTATTGTAGAAAAGAATGAAGTGCACACAGGGGTTACTTATTTCTTCCATTCCAATATGAAGAAACCTGGGATATACAGTTAAGGATCCTAGAAAATTTCTTATGTAAACTCTGCATCCTGTAAAATAAGACTGATGCTTTCTCTGTCCTTTGTCTCTTCCAGTTTAAGTTATTTCCACCCTGTATTACCTGGAATTAATCTTGTGCTATTTCCTAAGTTTCAGGCTTCTGTCAGGTATGTCTTATTGTAATAAAAATACCAATAATCTCCTCAAATCTATGATTCTCTCTATTTCTGACTGGTTTAGGCTGCCTGTGAAGCCTAGATCATATAATTAACAAATTTTTTATCAAAGTTTTTACCTAATTTGGCAACAGCTGTTAAAATTTGACTATCTATTGTAAGCTGGTTCTGCTATAAAATGGCTTTATAATGTTTTTATAGAAAAAATCTTCATTTACTTTTCCTGATTTCATTGTGCCATGATTTGTATTTAGCACCTATTTTCCATTGTCAGCACCAGCACTTCCAATGTTCATTTTACTGATCAGAATACTGTGAACAGTAAAAAAAAGCTCACAAGAAGCTGATATTCATTACTAGAAATATAGAATTTTAAGATTAAATTTATAGTTTAATAACTCACTGATATTTTCACCAGGAATGTGTTCACTGTTGGATATCCAGCTAGTTTTTAAAATTTAACTCAGGCATCCGAAACTACTGCTTGCTTTTCTGAACTTAATCTGATTTATAAACTACAGAGGATAAACACACACATGTCCATGCTCTTTATAATTTTACACAAAGTGCAAATGATATGTGACATGACATTGCGCAGCCCGTTGCTTTAAATTAATATTGTCAAACCATAAGAGTTCAAAGCAATGGCTTACAGGAATTCCAGTAATACATATAGCCTATTGTTTCTTTGACTTCTGCTTCTGAGCTCACTGTTTCAAGACTTTCTCAGTGATGGAGAAAAATAACAAGTATGCTCCCTACCATCAAATGAAGTAATTGACAGCAGTGGCTTCTCACTGACCTAATACACCAGGGCTACATAGTACACTTGAGAAGAACTTGAGAAGAAACTTCTTCTCAGTGAGGGTGACGGAACACTGGAACAGGCTGCCCAGGGAGGTTGTGGAGTCTCCTTCTCCGGAGACATTCAAAACCCACCTGGACACGTTCCTGTGTAACCTTATCTAGGTGTTCCTGCTCCGGCAGGGGGATTGGACTAGATGATCTTTTGAGGTCCCTTCCAATCTCTAACATACTGTGATACTGTGATACAATAGTTCATGCTCCATGATACACATGCTCATACATGCATAGATAAAATAAACATATACGTGCATGTCCACTTCTGAGCTTGTTAACCAGCTCCAAATTGAATGAAATAGTCCTATAAATAAAACTGCTTAATCTACTATAAATATATGTAGCTGTGCTGAATCCAACAGATCTATATCAGGTGACACTCAATACAAATTTGGCCCAAATCTCCTGGGTTTGACTTGTACAATATGGTACTCTCTCTTGTTATGTCAGCTGCTAGGTTTCAATTCATGTAAATAGTTACTAATTCTACCTATACTATGATGAAAATATTTGGGGTTGAACACTGTTGAATTCTTGCAAACCTGAGGTGTCAAAGAGCAATATTTACTTATATTTCCCTTCACATGAATGGTCTTAGCAGTGAAGAAGGGTGGATTGAATCAATGTACAAGTATTTGAACAGTGTCAATGTAATAATCACTGTAGAAACAATTGGATTTTTAAGTACATTTCTTAAACTCCTGAGGAAATTTGTGTAACACTCTATAATAAAAAAAAAAAGAATTTTCCTTTCAAAGTAAAATATAATATGTGTTGAAGGAAAAAATTATCTGACTTGAAATAAACACTAGTTTTGAATTTAGATTTTAAAATATAATTTAGTGTTTAGAGTTTGTAAAAAAAACACCAAAAGCACCAAAAAAAGACAAAAGTGTCAAAACCAACCCCAAAACAACCAATGCAAAAACCCCACCTTTGCTTTCCTTTCATTCTCAACTACATCCATTTTTGAAGCTGAGACAGATTCTTTTTTTTTGTCAGATATAATATTTTATTGCAAGAATTTGCCTATTCAGCTTTTGATGTCTTTAAAATTCTATTCTTTCTTCTACAGACTATAGGCATAAGGATTTCAAGAGAGATCTCATGTGACAAAATACAGTATTTACCAAAACCATGTAGGTCTTCCTGATGTAAATACAAAACTGTTCAAATTGGTGAATGTTTTTGATTTGACAAAAATTGTGAGAGGATTTGATTCCAGGCTTAGTGAAGAGTCAGTTCATGCCAGTGACACGGACATAGGTAAACTTCAGACATCGATTAGCTTGAATTTATATAACTAAGATCCATACCTTTTGCCCAAGTAAGGACCCATGTGGAGAAGACTTTAAACACCATAGGGATCAGAAATTAGGGTTCATGAATGCTTATAGCAGACCAACAGATTGCCTGATCAGCAAGCTGTATTTATCAGTGTGCCTCATTGGAGTAGATGGCAGTGTTTTATTTCAATTGCATGCAGGTATAGATAGATATCCAACAGGAATCTGGGCCAACGACTTTCAAGCTGTATTTCTCTTCCTCCTTAAGATGAAATCCTCAAGCATATGTTTCCCAATCAGGATCATATTCTTTTAGAACTTTAGACTTGATGTGTTTCCACTAATTCCAGTCAATCTCTTTTAGACTTTTTCTTCGCTTGTCTGGAACGCATCCAATATACCACATGTTTTCTTTTTCCTCTGCATCAGTTATTCTTATGCTAAATGGAGATATAAAAAAGCACAGAGAAGTTCCCAATATCACTTATCCTTTGCACAGTCTTTTACTCTCCCACACTGCCTGCTGTGATCAAAATCCCTTGTCTTCAGTTACATAGTTACCTAAATAGATTTCTTTTAATCTTAAACTATTTCAAATGTAAATCTTGATGGGCAAGATATTGTACTTACCGAAGTCTTTCCAATGTGTAAAAATGGCCCAGCTACAGAAAAATATCACCAAGACAACTCTGTCACAGTGAGGGAGACGAAGACATTGAACTGGGTAAAGGCAGCATTTCATGAGTGTGTTCAAAAGTAGATGGCAATGTTGTGCTTTTTCTGCCACTGGTGCATCTCAGAAAGGAAAAGAATATGGGAGCAGAAACATGACTTCACCATCATATCCCTCTTTGTCAGACTGATGGACAATGACATTATTTTTAAAGGTCTAAGGAGGACATAAACACTTCACTAAGGACCTCTACCTTTCTAGCAAAGCTTTCTGTGAAGAATCTCCATTGCCAATTGCCTTAGACCTAGATAGACTGAGAAAGTTGGGGCTGTTCAGCCTGGAGGAGAGAAGGTTCTGCATGGACACCTCATAGCAACCTTCCACTATCTGAAGGGGGCCTAATAAGGATGCTGGGAAGGGACTATTCATTAGGGACTGTAGTGATAGAACAAGGGGTAAAGGACTCAAACTTAAACAGGGGAAGTTTAGATTGGATATAAGGAAGAAGTTCTTTACCGTAAGGGTGGAGAGGCACTGGAATGGGTTGCCCAGGGAAGCTGTGAATGCTCCATCCCTGGTGTTTCTCAAGGCCAGGTTAGACAGAGCCTTGGATGACATGGTTTAGTGTGAGGTGTCCCTGCCCATGTCAACGGGGTTGGAACTAGATGATCTTAAGGTCCTTTCCAACCCTAACTATTCCATGATTCTATGATTCTAAGTTAGAAAGGTTATGCAGATATATCAGAATTCAGGCAAAAGAAAAATTTTGTCCACTGCCTCACACAGAAAATGAGCAAATACTGGATGCTGGAGATAGATAAGGATGAAATATTCACTGCCTCTATCACACCAAAATTCCCAAAAAAAAGAGCACAGGAAGCAAAGGATTAAGCTGAAGGATTATATTGGAGATTTAAAAAATTCATTGAAAAACAGGGTGTACTGGCATATCTGGATTCCATAATATCATTTTATAAATTTCAAATAGGATTATCATAATTATGATAGTTTTTCTGCAAACCCAGTGGTTTCAACATCAAACGCTAATCTTATTTTTCAAAATCAAATAGCCTTCCTAGAAAAACAAGTCAAGATTCAGTTGACATGAAAGGAATTGTCAAGAGTATTGCTGGCTTCTCTAAACCATTTCAACTTCTGGACTTATTAAGAACCATCAAATATTTTGCAGAACCTTGACATATGTATCCAGATCTGAATTTTACACACATAAAAGTTTCAAATTACCAATTAGACTGGAAATTGTGGGGTAACATTTGAAGTTTTTGCCTTCTGCTATGTGTACCTTAAAATTAACGTTTTTTTCCCTCACAATTATAAAGTCAAAAGTGACAAATGAATAGATACACATGGACATTTTATCTAGTAAACTGATTCTGGGCCTATAGTCTTACAAGAAAATAATGCACATTATGAGACACTGCTGCTCACAGATTGAAAAATGCAGGAATTTTCAATGGTCCTTTCAGTAATTAATGCCACCTACAATGTTATAATGTTAATATTAATGTTCCAGGCATTTAGCTTTGTTTTAATTTTGGTCCCATGAAACACTTTCACATACTTTCCAAGCTAAAATAATAAATGATTAAAGCAAACACTTGCCTTTTTCATGTAACTGATAGCGTATAAATGTGTTTAACAAGAATTTAAAGCAACTGGAGGTATTCATCCCCTTTACTCCTGTTTTTTAGGTAGCTTAACTCCAGCGTGAAAAGCAAGATTCTGAAACAGTGATTCAGGGTTGATAGATTTTCTCTCCACATTTTGTTATGTTATGGTAGATTTGGAAATGGAAACCCTGCAAGCAAAATAATTCCATATCACTGTTAGGATTCTCATATGCCTCTTTCCCACAGCTTTGATGGTGTTGTTTTCAGTTAATGGCATGTAATAAATATTTTGTGAAATATAGAACATTTCTGTGGTTTTATTAAGGGATATTTTAAAAATATACAGCTCCAGAGCATTTCCTGAAGGATTTAACCTTGATTCTCTTTAATGAACAAGTAATGCTTATCACAAACGTGAAATGTATTACTGTAAATTTTCCAGTAGTTATAAAACACCTTTTTCCAGACACTTGTTTTAAAACACAGTTTCAAAGAAACATGTCCTGTACCCTGTATTTGCTTATAGAAAGCTGGAAACCAGCTTATTACTCTGCCCACTATAAGTAACTCTCACAATCTGTAGTTTAAAAAAGAAATAATCTAAGCAGAAGTTGACCATTCATTTCCATATAACCAATTCAGTTTAAAAGAATAACGATTCAAAAATATTTCTTAGAGAAAAAAAGGGGGGAGGGAAGAACACATAAAATCTTATTGGTATAGTAAATTAATTTCTCTAATCCTAGAATAAGAGGAGAGTCTGAATCAGAGCCATGTTAGGACAGAAGGAACCTCCAGGTTCAACCTCTTGCTCAGAGAAGGTCTAGTTAAAGAAGGTGCCTGGGACCTTTTTATTTAAGTGTTGAATATCTCAAAATACAGTCTTGCACATTTCCTTTAAGGAAAAGGTGAATCCTATGCAAATTAAAGGAAGTTTAAAAGAGACTTGGGAAAGACCTGGTGCAAAGAAGTAAAATGTCAGCAAAATCAATGCAGATAGGTTAATTTACAGGAGCAGAAGATCTGGTCAGAATTGTTTCCTACAAGAATTCCAGTAAATTTTTAAAGATCAAATTACTCTGTTCTCCTGGAATTGTATGGAAAATGTTGTGACATTTAGGGAAACTTCTTGGACTGATTTTCAGTATTTTCTGGTTTTGGATGGGCTCTGAAGCTCATAAAAATACTCCCTGTGAGCCAAACATAGTAAATGAAGAAATACACATAGCTGATCTTCATTTTCTTCAGCATCATTAAAAAAGTTTCATCTCAATTGATTGATTCATTACTTTATACTGAAAATGTTATCTGTATGTCTGTTCTGCACATATTCTTGAAATAGATATTACATACTATGAAGAAGAGATGGAGGAAGTTAAAGATTAATAAATAGCCATTCAGTAAAGGGGCCTGTAATCATAAGAGATAAGATTTTTCATTATCTTTGCCCCTAATTTAAAAATCTTATACTGAAATTGGTGGCTTATTAAAGCCAATGGGATTGTTGCCATTGGTTTCCATAGCTCCAGGATTTTAAAATTCTTTTGAATATATCTTGTAAAATATTGCATTAGAAACTATTTCTATCATATTGAAATTCTACCTTCTTTATCAGTATATGGTCATTATTATCTTGCTTGGGTTTCAGGCTGTCTTTAGAATAGATTTTAAGAATTATCTTCTACTGTTCCTTGTTAGATGACATGACAATAACTGATTTTTTCCTGATGCCTTGTCTCCATGCATTAAATAGGTTGTGTTGCAATAGAAAATTTGGGAATAAAGTCCAGTATTTTCCAAGAACTTTCTTTCAGAATTCAGTAGCAATTGTGCACCTAATTCCTTTAGGGTTTTTTACTATTTCATGCCTCCAGTTGATAAAAAAGTGAAGGTTTTTGGCCTCCTTTATAACAAAATATTCCATAAATCTGAGTATGCCTTCCACTGCAAAAGGGTTCTTTCCTTCTCATTTCCTAAGTTCCTTAATTTCATACACATGCCTCTCACCAGTCTCCGTAGCCAGACTGAGGAGTGCAATGTGTATCCGAATGTATTTCTAGGAACAGATTGCAGACCCTATCAGGCTTTAAAAGTTGATTGGCCATCAGCTGTCTTCTGCAACTGTTTGCTTATTTTTTAACTTTAACAAGGTACAGAGAATCTCAAAGCTGAGGTTACAATATGTGCAGGTAACACTTTCCTTTTTTTCATTTCACATTGAGTCATTCTGTAAGCAAGGATCTTACCCCTGGATTTCTGCAACTGGGCATTCCCTGAAGAACTCTAAATTCAGTAATGCTTACATACATGAAAAGCTTAGACCAATATTGTAACATCAGAGCCCTGTTGTCCACTAGGTCTTTTCTATTCCATTCCTGATTGTATCTTCATGTTGATATAACAACTTGCTCTTCACTACAGATGGTAGGGACAAAACCCTCCAGTGAAGCAGCTTTCTGTCAAAAATCACTCTACTGTCAAAATAACAATGTTCCATGAAAATGCTTCTATTCTGAATCTTTTTTATTCAAAAGGAAAATGGAGAGAGGGATACACTGAAGGAGGGGGAGCCCTGGAGAATGTTCCTCCTTGCTTTAAAACTCTATTTTTTTTTTAAACCAGCAACAACACAATTTTTGGGTGTAAAACTAGTATCAGGAGCAGGAACCCATATGTGTTCTGCTACTCTTAGCCAAGAGGTCTCACCATTAAGTGGTAGAAAAGGCTCATGATCCCTCTGGCCCCCAGATCCTTAGGTCTATGGGCAGTGGCTGCAGTGATTCGGCTTCAGCAAAGGGGAAGAGAGGGCATGGATTCTGCTGAGGGGTTTGGGCACTTGCCTGGGAAAAAGTAACTGTAGGTCTGGGTGATGTTAAGTGAATTTATACAGTCTGAATCTTGCTCCTTGAGCAATTTCAATAATCCTTTCTCATAAGAAGTACATGAGCTCAGCTCTCAGATATTTCATTTAGCCATGCATAAAACTGAATAAACCCCTTCCCCCAGACTGTAATGTGGCAGAATTTTTGTAAATTGACAGAAAAAAAGGAGAGAAAAAAAAAAAAGGAAAAAAAAAAAAAGATATTCCTTGCTCTCCTGTAGCATGAGATTGTGCTGGAGTCACAATTAACAGCAATCACATATAGACTTCCACAGGTCGAAGGAATAAAAAAAAATCCCTTTGCTTTTGCTTGGTTTTATTTTGATTCATTACTGAAAAATAAATAACAACCAACCCTTCAGCTAAATATATTTTGTTCCAGGTCAATATTTTTAAAAGAATGAAGAAAGTAATTTTATCTTTCAGCTAGTGTGTCAAATATGTATATATGCATAAATTTCACACAATAACCTCTGTGGCTCTTGGATTTTAGCATAAAAAGAATTGTTCATACATAATTGTTTTAAAGTGTATTCTCTTCTAATTGGAACATTGTTGCACTGTTAGAACAAAAAAATCTGATTAAAACAAACATATGGGATACTCAGAGCAGATAATTAACCAGAGATCACTAAACAGAAATGTTATGCACCTCCAGTTCTAAATTACTCACAACATGTGTTTAGCAGAAATTAAAAAAACATGTCTGTGCTCTTGCTTATGTTGATCCGTGAACTACAGTCAACTGGCTGGATGTCCTGGGATAGTATTGAAGTCCTGTGCATTTCTGGCATGTCAGAATCTCACTTAAGATGATTTGAAATTGAATCAAGCATGTCAAAGGGAATACAGGGAGTGCCTGTATTGTACTTCCCAAAGTTTAAGAAAGCAAACAACATTGTCTATTCAAGCTTACTTAATATAGTTCTCCATTAAATGCCTCCTGGTCATTGAAAATCTCTTCCCCAAAAATATATGCTTTTTTAAGAATCTGAGCAAGAGCAGATACTGACACCAAAGATTTTTAAAGGGTCAAAAAACATTGTGAATGTGTGAAAAATGGTGCCTAAGCAGTGGATTTTTTCTTAATCTTCTGTTAGTGTTTGTGGTTTTCTTACATTTTTTTAAAGGGAAAAAGGAGGTGGGGACACACATTTTGGTTTGGTGTCAAACCATAAAAAAATGTGCAAAAAGCTGATGCTATCCAAGATGTTGCTGATCATCAGCTCTCAAGATTCAGGAAAGGAGTAATCAACTATTTTGTCTTTCCAGACACTGTTTCAGTCCACCAAGACATTAGAGGTATTATCGTAGAGATATATTAAAGATATTATAATAGAGATATATTATTCAAGTAGTAAGACTCTTCAGATTTTCTGTCAAGTCCAGCAATACTGATGTACACTGCAAAGAACAGTCCCTCCAAAGGCTTCCCTTAGTAAGGAGGGACGGCTATGTCAAATCGAACAGGTTGATCATGACCTTATAACAGGGAAACTAATTTTAAGAATGTATGTTCTAAACATCAGGTCCTATAGGAAATCATAGAATCATAGAATAGTTAGGGTTGGAAAAGACCTTAAGATCATCAAGTTCCAACGCCCCTGCCATGGGCAGGGACACCTCGCTCTAAACCATATCACCCAAGGCCTCATCCAACCTGGCCTTGAACACTGCCAGGGATGGAGCATTCACAACCTCCCTGGGCAACCCATTCCAGTGCCTCACCACCCTAACAGGAAAGAGTTTCTTCCTTATATCCAGTCTAAAGTTCCCCTGTTTAAGTTTTAACCCATTACCCCTTGTCCTGTCACTCCCTCCTTGGCTTAGCTGATGACTTTGACCAGGTCAACAAGATATGATGGACTATGATAAGATACTATACCATCAAGGGCAGAAGCATAGGGATGGAGACTCAAGCTCCCTGGTTTTAAGGAACTGTTGGAGACACATGACCTCTTTCTGAGTATCATACACTTTCAATGAGCAAAATTTTGGGGAACCATACTTCGAAAAAATAAAGGGAAATTAATCTTTTTTTCATTTTTTCTGTGACTACAGAAGAGAATGTCCTAGTGTCAAGGCCTTATGTCAATGCCTTCTTTCAAAAGCTGCTACTGGCTTCTATATGATCTGCATTTAAAATTTTGAAAACACCTGGAAAAATAAATCATGAAATTGTAAAAATAAAGGTTTAAGGTGAAATAAAAAAAGTGAATGTCTTAAACTACACTCAGTCATTTTTCCTTCCCCAGCAAAAATGCAAGTGTGATTGGGTTTTGATTCTCCCAGAGCTCATACAGTCCGTCTTTACTGTTAAATTCTTTCATGCCTCAAAACTGTTCTAATATCAGTGGAACCCCTATGAACCACACAGCCAGCAGAGCCTTTGGGAGTCACCTGACTTTCAGTTCATGTGAGTGACTACATGAAATAACTAGTCTGTTACTCTACTTCTACACCTTAAAAAAATCTACATTATGTCAAACAGTGGCAAACCCAATTTCTCCTCTTTAATTTCCAAACTCAGTTTTGCTTTGAACTCCATCCCTGTGTGCAGACAAGATGTGAATTTCCAGCCCTTGCAGCTGTCTGGTGACAGTGCACACTCGTCAGACTTCAAACAACATGGAAAGGTAAATATAGGTGTCCTTGGGATAGCTGACACCTGGATTATACTTTTTCAATCAATACAAGCTTGCTTTTATTTTGTTTTGAAATTTCTCTGTAGCTTTCCACTTCATTACAGTTACCTATTTTGTGACTATTTAGGAGATACAGTTCCTCTCTCCTGAACATATTTTCAAATGCAATTTTAAATTCCATAGCAGTTCAAAACAAAAGAAAAAAGCATCATAGTCATCCCTCCAACTTTGAGAATGAATAAAGACAAAAAAGTAAAAAAGAAAGGGTCACATCCAATTTTGCTGTCACAGTCCTACAGGCTTAAATCCATGCAGTAGAAGTAGAATTCACATATACAAAATCTGGGGAGGCTTAAATGACCCCAAAGGCCAGGGCTGTTGTGTTGCATGAGTGAGCTTGTACAAATCCTGTCAGCATCCAAAGTAGAAATGCCACAATGGCTCCAGTTTCCAGGTATGGTTCTGTCACAAGGATCATAAGTTGCCTTTGACAAGGTGACAGAAAGTAGGTGGAGAGAAAACAAATTTGCTTAGAAGTAAACTTTGAAATATATGCATATGCATATACATACATATATCAACAATTATTTTTATGTACATATAATCAAATACACATGTATATATTGACACGCATACATTGATTTGCTATGCATTCTATATTTTAAAAATATACTATTTTGTGCATACAGACATACAAAGCTGCTTCTTGTAGCAGTTACAGACAATCAGTAGTGAAGGCATAAAACTTGACCTTTTTGTATATTTTACTGACTTTCTCCTACCACTTTTTTTCTTTCTTCTTTCTTATTTCTAAGGACCTTTTATTCAAGCATAAGCTGTCTACTAGTATCTAAACAGGATAGAGGCATTTACAAGTAAGATGACCAATGTGCCAAATCAAATAACATTTATTTTACCAAGGGAGGGGAAAATGTCAGAAGTAGAGATCTGTTTTTACATTTAGAATATATTCAAAATGTTTGAAGGGAAGCAAAGTAATCTCCCGCAGCTTTCTCTGAACAGAACACACTGTGCCACCAGTAATACCGCATCCAAAAGCAATAGTTGTATCTCTCTCTTCTTCCAGTTTGCCTCCTCAGTTTTTCTCTTCCTTGAAATGGTTCGCAGAGAAACGAGAATAGTTATAAATCAATGAGTTTGCAGCATGTACTCAGATCAGCTGCATACTGTCTTCCTCTGAGAGCACACATTATGTTGAGCACCTCTGAAAACCTACTGGCTTCTTTTGGTGTATCAGTAAATGTCGAATTCCTTTGAAAATCAGTTTGCCATGGCAGGGACACTTTGGAGGATGTGACCCCAAGTGTATGGAATTACTATAAAAACTTCACAAAACAGCAATCACTAGCAAAACTTGTCCATTCATTTGTTGTCTCAGGAAAACTGTACAGCAATATTAGTCCCTTAGCATACACTTTTCAGCTGAGCTTTTCTTTGTACAAGAATGCGTCCTGATATTCTCCAAAATATAAATTATAAGAACATTTAATCCTTTGTCCTTATATTTGTTCCTTCTAAAATTATATAAAAAAACCCAACCCAAAGTAACAACATTCCATTTTTTTGCAAAGTTATTTCAAAAGAGCAGTTGTTTGTGAAAACCCTTTATACTTGCTTCATTCTGCAAAAAACATTCAAAAATAATCTAAAAATACTATTCTTTTTAGACTGTCCCTAATAGAAACAAGTATTTCTAGATGTAATCTAAACTGAGTGATGCACACTAATCTGCATTCAAGTACACCCATACTCGCATCAACGAGTGATGGCCCTGTATGAGAAAAGCACTATGTGCGTTGCAGAAAGGTCCTCTACTTGTATCTCATAACATATCGTCCACAAAATATAATGATGGGATTTTGGGCAAATACTTCTCTAGATAGATATATTTAAAGTCTTAGTGTATTCACACTGAATGAATTTTACTCATATTTGAGTCTTTCCTTCTCATTATTACTTTGATGTGAGCTAGTTTAGATTTCACTTACTTCTTGACTCTGTTTCCAGACAAACCAATTATGACAAAGATAATAAACTGATGAGTGCGACATTTCAGGTATGACAAAGATAATCACACAAACAGGAAGGCGTGATGAACAAACTATGTATTGAATTTTAATAAAAAGCATTATTGAGGGGAAAAAAACATAGCAGAATTGCCCTCTTATGAACTTGTATCTTCTGATTAAACACATAACATGCTATTGCTGCACTGATTCATTATCAATCAATTAATTATATTAATGGCTTATTAAACTATGTTATCTAGAGTATCGCTATTTGCTACTCCAGCTCCTTCCCAAACATTTCTCTGCCTTGGTATTTTAACATTATGTTTCCATAGCCAAGTTTCAGGACTAATTTCTATCTCTGTTAATCTATGTAACTTTTAAAAGAATACATCTTTAAATGAGAAAAAGGTGATAAAACTCTAAAGAACATGGCTAATGGAGTTGCTGGCGACTGATCCACGCTGACTTCTCCTTCCATGCACCTCTCTAATCACAGTGCAAGGTTTCAGGCAAACCTTTGCTAGGCACCCATTTACCTGAAAGGAGTTTTCCTTTCTCTACCTGTGGATTCTCTTGGGTCTTGCTTGATTGGTTTCTTTCTGCTTTTCATTTTTTCAAGTAGTTATTTGCACTGCTTTGGTAATTTCTTATTCTATGATTTAATGTGCTGTTTTATTGGTTGAAATACCTGCTTTGCTTTAATAGAAGGTGTTTTTTTTAATAATCAGAAATATAGAAAATTCAGCACCTTATAATCATAATTTCACTTTTTTAATATTGCTTTCAGCATTCATGGAGTTTTTCATTGAAGTTTATGTCAGTCCGTAAATAAATTCATACAGACAGAGTACCTTACATTTGGTGATTTTACTTTTTTCCAGGTAGCCTGAAGCTTTCAGCCTGGTTTCCACAAACTTGCCAGTGTAGGGCAGGGGTCAGATTGGCTGGAGAAATTCCAAGGTCCCTACAGGTGCTACAGAAAGCACTGTTGGCAATTTAGTGGGTGGCAATATTCCTCCTTGTATATTGCATAGCACCTTCCTTATGATCATGTGAAAAAGATCTTTAGGTCTATGTGCAATGCGTAAGCACATCAAACACTGAAATCAATGGTCCTTTTTAATGATTAAATGATTTCAATATGCTGGGTCTATATCAATTTCAAAATGTATCAGTCAAATTATTTGCTGACGTTTGTACGCACTATTGTTCAGCTCATGTCTTGTGTGCTCAGTAAAAATGTTTTTCAACTTGCCAGATACTCAGAAGATCACTTGACATGGGTCTGTGTGTTTCTCAAGAGAAAGAAACATGCTTTCATGAGCTTTTTCAGCATCTTTGCATCAGTAACCCAAAAAGTCTTACACTTTGCCCTTCAGTGTTGACTTACCTCACAGCTATACTCTGTGGGTGCATTTCTGCCATCTAGTTTCATATTTTATTATATTTTCCACTTCTTTAAATTTCCCCCTTTCTTGGTAAATACATTTTGTAAATTAAATCAGCATGGCCTGACCCAGCACATATTAATATGTCATTTGAATCGGTTCCAAATTCAGGTGCTTATAAAAACAAATTTGAGGAGCAACCATAATTCCAATCCCTCCTATGTTATGTGGGCAATTTAAAATTATGGAAATGCTTCCAACTTTATAGGCAATTTGAAAATGGAAAGCAACCAGAGTTCTGGGCATGTGTTCTGTTATACAGGGATTTTGCAAATAGAAATGCTTTTAAATAATTTCCATGTGCACCCATTTACCTGATTCTGCATGTGCTCCAAATGAAAATGCACATTTATATTTTAAAATTCTAAATACTGCCTTTATTGGACTTCTAGCCAATAAAGTGAACATCTGCACTATAACTGCAATCTGACTGTTCAATTTGTACTAAATTCATGGATTATATAATAGATCTATATATTTACTACTTTTTCCATATAATAAAACACATTTTTGAGAGAAAGGAAGAGAGGAGGCTCAGCAATCTTTGGCTCTGTAGGCAATAATATAATATAATAATATATATAGTCTTCTACTTATGCCAATATATTGCTATAAGCGAAACATACAAAATCCTGACATATAGACAGATGAGTCTCTGTGTGTCATGTGTAGCTTTTCTTATCCATGCTCGTAAAGTTCCACAGTGAATCTGTTCTTTACAGCTGATTGCTGTGGTAGAAGATCTAGATTCAGCTATGAATATCAGTGGAAGAACTTCACCTTAACAATGTCACTGTTGATCCCTATATTAAATAGACAATGACTGTCCCAGTTTACACCCTTACAAAATATGACAGGCTGAATAATCAGACACTTGGAAACTTTTCCTTTATGCTAAGAATAAATCTTCATCAAACTAAAACTATCCTTAGACAATGTGATTTATATAGATCTGTAGATTATCATAATCATAGCTGTCACTAAAGATAAATGTTCCAGTTAATCAATAAGTGCAGCAAACGCATATTGGGTCATCTCAACATGGACTTCTTGGTGTGGGCCTACACTTACATTTTCAGAAGTATCTAATCAGTAACAGACAATTAAATGAAAAATTCATAAAAATGTAATCTGCACCTTTCAGTGAGGAAGCTATGATTTTACCTGTGTATGAAAAGACATTAAAGAAAAGGTTATTAAAAACTAAGGGATTAAGGGGAAAAAATTATACTGGATATTACAGGAAAACCGAAAGTGCAGAAAGACACAGAAGGCCATCTTATACATTCTTTAATGACAAAAATTTGAAGCTATATTCTCAGTCAGAAAAGATACAGTGAAACTGTAAATGTTGTAGTCCTCGAAGGAAAAGGCCAGGTTGGATGGGGCTTTGAGCAGCCTGTTCTTGTGGAAGTTGTCCCTGCCCATGGCAGACGGATTGGAACTAGATGATCTTTAAAATCTCTTCCAACTCAAACCATTCTATAATTCTAGGAATCTTAGAAAACATGTTCTAAAAGGCAGCTAAAAAAATCATAAAGAACTCAATCAAGGGCTAATAAATTTGAAGACATTTTCTCCTGCACAAGAAATTTGTAAGCAATAAAAAAATGGAGGTTAAAGGAATGCTTTAAAATAATTCTTTAAAAGAATGATTTTTAGAAGCAGCACTCCATCTTGTCTTTAATTTCTTCCCTAGGCATCCACCAGTGTCTGCTGAAAGACTATGTGACTGGAAAGACTATTAACCAAGAACAGCTTTGGTTAAGCTTTTAGGATCTTCACCTACAGCTGTAGCAAATGCAGAACACTAGAAAGCTCAATATCAAACAAGCACACTCCAAAACAGAATATAAATAATTGTTAATATATATAACTCTGTGTTCTCATAGGTCAGAAACTTTCCTCTAAAATAAGGAGGTTTTGACCTAGTCATGGCTAGTGTGAAATGCTCCATTTGATGTCAGTCCTTCTCAATAGAGGTGTTAAGGTGGGCAGAGGCTTCTGTTGCTGTTCTTCCACAGAGCAGATCACATTATGTCAGCACTCCAGTGTAGTTGTTTTTTTGACATTTTCAGTGGGTCAGTGATTAATAATGCACTCTTGTGTATATTATGACTCATATATTAGCTCACACACAAAGCACAGTATATGCACTGTATGAGACCCTAATTTCTCAGACTTTTCACAAGTAAGTGTAAAGGCACTTTAACACACGTAGATGGAATTTCTTCTACCATCTCACCTTTCCAAGTTTTAGTTTATGTGTCTGGGGCTCAGCTTCTTTCCTTCTAGCTCAGAACGCTGAACTGTGAAAGGTTCAGAGGTTTTGATTGTTCTGTCCATTCTGTTTCCTTTCTTCAATTGTAAACTAAGAGACACAGGCTTTTTTAGATATTCCATGATAACTTCCAAGTAGCTACATGTGTTCTTCAGAATAATGTCATTCATCAAGCTGTGGAACCACCCTTGAAAAGTCTTCATGAATACTGATACTATCTTTTTTTTATAAATTATTCTCATTATTGTAATGGGAAACAAAAATCATGATCTTTAAGATATTGTTGTATCTGTTTTAAAAATGTTTTCTAACTACAAAGCAGGTTTATAAAATATATGAAAACAGAGGGTATGAATTTCTTTTGAAGATGTCAAACCCAGAATCAGGGTGAAATTTCAAAACCCATGAAAATATCTTTTTCTTTTTTTTTTTTGATCAGCTGTCTTCATGCATAATCTTCCTGAAATAAGAAACTTTTACAGCTTTACCTAAAGGAATTTGTTGAGAATTATACAACAAACCTGTTGTATACACTTGTAACCTGTATACAGTTGCAAGGCACATTTCAGTGATATGAAAGAGAAGACAAAGCCATTGTTCATACTGAATTATGTTATTATTACCTTTGACTTCAACAGCTTCAGACTGTTTTAGGCTTTGACTAATGTAACTGATTTAATCTGATTATATTGCATGTCATTATAAATGTAAAAAAAAATGTTTCAGCCAAAAATTAAACAGTCTTATCAATAAGATTTTTATCAGTATGTCTCACTATGCCTGGATACCTCTCTAGGTCTCCACAAATTCAGTACATTTGCAGCTCACCCAACAAAGGAGATACCAAGAGCCCTGGATGTGATGAAATAGAAAAAAGAAAAATACAAGTGACAAAAAAGAACTGACTCAAGGAACAGGTATCAGAATTAAAGACAAACAATGCAACTGGTTTGGGCACCTTTTGGTGCAATGAAGCTGCTGAAGCTGCCAGAGTCTCTGTGCTGAATCTATAGGAAGACCAAATGATGAGTTAATACAACATGACTAACTTCTGAATGGCAAAAATTAGGGTGAGTTAAATGATACCTACATGCTTCCGAAGGAAATGAGAGACATGCTTACGAATTGTTAAAACCACAGTCAGACTAAAGATAGTGAGGTGTTGGTGAAAGAAGGGAAAAGCAAGAAGGAGCACTTCAGCAATTTACTCAACCACCCTGTCCCAGACAGCCCTGCTGTGCATGATGAGGATGATTCATTCAGTCAGTTCCAATGCCAAGTAAAACAGCATTATGCAATCTGAAATGAAAATGGGCCGTCATGAAGTTGAGGAACAGCACACTTCGCAGGGTGGATAATATCCATGCAAAACTACGGAGGCAGACTTTAAGATATTTGGTAGACTATTCATCATTGCTTCTTTCAGAAGTGAGTTGGATGACTGCCTTTCAAATGCTGAAGCAAGACCAATCATATAGCGTGGATATCTGAAAAGAATATCCCAGTGACTTGGATATATAGTCCCGATGGATTTTACTGAGATCTGACTGCAGACTATTTATTTAATCACACCAGCAGAGGAAAATACAAGTTTACTAAGTAATGTAGCAAAAAAAACATTTGTGGCATGATGGCCAGGACTGGGCTGTCACTGAGGGAAGAAAACTGGTTGCACAGGTTACAAAAGAACACACTGGGTAGTGACTGTATGAGTTGAAAAGAGATAAATAGGAGACACAAAGATTGTTCAGGAAGTTGAGAACAGCACTGGTCTGCCAGTGGATATTTATATCAGCATGCCAGTATTATACCACTATACGAATATGATTTGTTTATCAATATATATATCAATATATATATCAACTCATATGAATACCAGGGGCTGGATGGCTGGATAGATAGATTATGTAGATTAGATAGATAGATAGATAGACAGATCTGCAGCAGCACAGAGAATGTCACCTCAGTTCAACAGTAAGGTAATTGGTTTGATTGTCTTTGGCGTAGTTAGCATTAATCTGTAGATTTAGAGGTGGAAATGTAAATTTGTCAGCAGAACAACAAGTGTATTGAATATACACTGCTCAAACAGACTTAAAGCTAGGTCAAAATAAGCACATGCTTATGCAAGAGCCTGAACTTTATAGAAGAAACTGCTGTAATAAGATTAACTCAATTAATGGCTATGCAGAATTTGCTGCAATCTATGCTGAGCTAAAACACATGTGTCTGGGTGACC